CCCTCTACGCACAAAAACTAAGAACACCGCGATGAGAAGGCAACATTTTTTGTAGAAACAAAAACGTCATAAGCCAATCAAGAAAATTTTGTGCACACTCGGGTTGAAACTCGAACACCCGGGTATATTGAGCTGCAAAGCACCCGAACCCAATCAAGTATGTATGAAAAGCAATCGGGTGTTGTGGCCAACATGTTCGTCTTGAGCTCAGTCGATAACGAACAATACTTCTGCTCGTATACAGAGAACGATGCAAAACGGGTTTTGTTAGATGATCGAGTATACACGAAAATCATGCACCCGCTGCAGATGTCTGATACATACATACATAAGTAAATGCGCTCAAAGTATTCATGCACTACGCATATGTAGTAAGACACTCACTTCCGTTCTTTATTCAATATACACATATACTATTTACACATGTGTAAGAAATTGCCTCGACTTCTTGGTCTTATTGTTATAATGAGGTGCTTCTCTGACACCGATGCCTTCGTTATACAAATTTTCGAAACTAATTAATAGGAAAACTACATAAATAAAATAAATCGTTTCCATTGAAACGTAGTGATGCAGAGTGTAAACCTTAGCACTTTCTCGTTTCATCCACATGGAAGGCAATTCCGAAATAGTTTCCTTTGGACCGAACGTAGCGGCCGTCTTTTACGTTTTGGCATATATTTTTTAAATTTTCAGTAGAATTTTAAAGTGCGATATTAGGATGTTCTTGTCTCGAGAAGGAGAATTTTTTGCCCGAAGTTCATTGACCTCAAGTATCCAGTTCTTGTGCTTACCCATTAGAACTAAATTTTTTCACCCTAAATTGTCACCCTATTGTCAGTACATCAAAGCTCAGTAAAAATCATTTAACTTTTGCAAAAGAAGTATATATTTCTTGATTTTTTAAGTAGTGATGATGATCTTGCAATGACCACTGAAGCTTGTAATAATTTTTTAACAAATCTAAATTTGAAATTTTCTAGAGTTGTTCAAACAAGGATAATTTATACTTAGAAACGTAAAATTTGGTGTCAGCACCTTTTTTCGGCAAGAAGAAAAATTTCGTAAGGTGCCCCGAACCTTATCGGGAAAATTTATTGTGGACCACCTTAATGCGGGTGTTACCCAAAAATGTAAAAGGCCAGGTTCGTCCAAAAAAATATATTTTATTGAAATCGCGTTGCAAAACTTCTTCATAATCAGATATGTACGGCGAACTTTATTTGTTAGCTTGTAAGGTGGCACATTCTAAGGTACAACTACATTTATACGCGCATTTCTAAAACAGAAAAATATTTTAAGAGTATGGAGGAATCAAACTAAAGATCCAGTCACAATGTACCAATTTTGTTGCTCCATTTTCTGAGAGATCGAAATTTCAATAACTTCATTTATGCACCTGCATACATAAATACGTGTGTACGTGTGTACAAAGAATGCACACGACTTCGCTGATAAATGCAAAAATTATAACCTTGACCGTGACACAATTTCCCAAGAACCAGATTGCAAATGAAAATGCCAAACCAAGTAAATGCTTGACCGATTAATGTGCGAAATATCTGGGCAAGATGCATTCAACCAACAGGTTACGAATATGGTGAGTGTGCTCAATGAAAATTTATTTTTGCTTTTGTTGTAGATGATAATGAAAATGTTGTTGGTGCTGCTCATGCGCCGCGGTTGCTGGTTCTATTAACTACCGATAGCGAGCACACACAAAGTGTGCCACAAACAAAGTGGCGCAGCAATGCGTAGATACATATATATGAAGAAGGCGTAAAGAAAAGTTTCTGAATGTGACTACAGATTAAAGTAGAAATATCAATGATCAGATATAAATACAAGTATAGTAAAAAGTAAAGCCGTGGTCTATGAGCCTTCTGATATACCTTTCTTATTATTGTGTTTTTTTTAATACCAATGCACGAGTATGTATGTTTATTTATACCTATGCGGTGGTTTTTATGAACACTTTGATTAAAGTAGATTTTATTTAATTTAATACCGCAACACTTGATAACTTATTTGTTTACTAAGTTGCCCACACTCACTATTTGAAATTTCACTCTGAAGACAACTCAGTTTATACAGAAAATTATTTTCAAGTCTCTTTAGAGGGGTTTCACCAACACTTTTTATTCAACATTCAATCAGCTTCTCGACGCACACAAACCGCACAGCGTAAGAATTAATGAAGAAGAAAACCGAAATGCTGAACCAAACGCGTCAAACCACAGAATCAAACTGATCTTGGAACTTGCTGTTGATGCTTTTACTGCTCAGCTGTTGTCGAGTCTGGCGACTGTGCGTTGCAGCAACATGTCGCCAAGAAGATGCCATAGGTTGTTATCTATGCGATTGCGCAGAGTGAGAATCTTGAGCTACTTGCCGGTGCGCAGACAATAGACAAATCTCAGCAATACTGTTGCAGCTACGTTTATACATACATACATGTACATAGATGTTTAACAACTACCAGAAGGTGTTGCATGTCCAAAATTCGTTAGCATTGTTATTATGAAATTTTCGTTGCATCTGTTTTATTGCTGTGTTGCAATGTGCCACTGGTGTGAATAAGGTATACGGAATAGATTAATGAATTAACAGTTACCGAATTTCAGATGTATCACATTTTACGATGTGAACTTTTTCGCACACTGAAATAAATGTATTGCGTGAAAGCCCTTAAGAGGTACAAATCCTGAATTTTGTACACAAACTTTTCCTTGTACATTCTTTGCACCATAAATCTATATATATGACCGGATAAATTTTTTCAGTCCTCTTCTTCCTGAATGGCGCCAAAGCCATTGAAGCTATTTTTGCCGAGTTCAGCGAAGCTGAGCAGTTGTTTCCTCTTTTCGATAGCTGGCGCCAATTGGAACCTACACAAAGCAGGCTTTCTCTTATCTTCTCAATCATTAACGGGTACCACATCAAAAACTCTCGGCGCTCGAACATTAGCATCCGTTTCGATGTCGCTAGGAAGCTCGTACGGGAAATGATTCTTTATTCGAACACTCCAAGAGCCTTCTCATCAGATTTTTTCCTAAAGTAGCGCCCATTGGCAAGATTTATTCTCCGTTGGAGTTCAAGCAAGAAGTCGACTGACTGCTTGTTTGATGATAAGAAGTACGTAGATGTGTCCTCGTTTCTCACCAGATCCACGAAGCTTGCATCACTAATATTTCGAGGGAAGAAGAGCCGCAAGGGCTGTTGAGGCCGGTAATGTCGATACCTTCTTTTAAAATTTGACAATATGGTGAATACCTTGCCTTTCGAGGAATTATCAGGTCTAAAGACATTATTGTGTCTAGTTGCCCAGGCGGCTTATATAGCATGCTTTCGTCCATCTATATTTTGCTTAAATTAGGGATATGTACATTGCCAGCTCCTCACCTTCACATTACTATAGTAAGGCAGCTGGCAGACCATCGGCTACAGGAACACTAACTCCAACAACATCGACATTAGAGTCCGGGCTATAATAATGTCCACGGGACGGGATACAGATTATTGTAATTTATGTTTAGATATCGGGTATCAAAGTTAACTCTTCGTTTGAGTTAACGTCAAATTTACGCACATAACTCATGAATGTGTAAACTAGTTTCTATACACACTTTAACAGCGGCTGGGTCTGGCTGGCTGAGGAGAAATAATGTTTTTATTTTTTTTTAATATTACATTGCTTTTATCCACATACCGCTGCTTATGTAGTTTACCTAACCATCAACATGTTAGATTTTATTAGCCGCCACTATAGGTGCGTAATGTTAGTCAAATGTTCAGCCAACGCAGTGGTCGATGCTAATACTCTCTTTCACATACTTTTAGGCGTTTTTTGACTTGACTTCTTTAAGACTCGACTTAGTAAGCTCATTATCAACTGCAAATTCAACAAGTGTCTTAAACTGCTTCAAACGCTTTGCAATTGTTGATTTTCCTTTCAAATGCTTATGGCAATGGATGAAGTTCGCTACTTAAGTCTTTCATTTTTCACCACCATTTATCGTAAACTGCATAGTGCCGCACAAAAACCAAGTTGATATTTAGAAGTTTTAATATTTAAAAATTCAACAAAAAATATCGTGTTGAAAAACGTCTCACTTTAAATTTTCAAAATCTCCAAATTTTTGAACGTCTGAAATTTAAATAAAAAATATGAAAATTTTTTGATTTCAGATACACTAAAATTTTTGGTTCATCCGCATTAAGATCAAAACTTTAACAAAATCGACTTGCATTGCGCAAAAATTTAGCGCAAATGAAGCCGAATTGCAAGGACTCCAAAGCGCAAGTAGCCGCTAAAACAACAGCAACAATTGGCACTACTACCGTTGCTGCTGCTGCTGCTGCTGCTGTATCTACAGTCGAAGTGGAGAACGACGAGCGATTGCAATTTCTGCGCGAAAATGTGTCACTTATCGGCTGGATGGGCATCATCGCATCCACTACAATGCTGCTCTGCACTGGGCTGTCAATGCAATGGAGTCACGAGGTGGTGCGCTATTTTGTGTACGCGCTGCGCAAATCTTTCGAAATGGAACGCACGCGAGTGATGCTACAACGAGGTGAGTAAAAAAATGTTTTGAGTATTGGAAACTAATTGAAATTTAAATTAAATTCTAGTTATAATGGCATTGAGCACAAGTGCTTACTCCTTGTCGGCCGTCAATATGCTTATGAATATGTTCCTGGTCATTGGCGTGGCTAAGGTGAGCTGTTGTATAGATTTGTTACGCACGTTAAAAAATTTCATTTTCTGGAATCCTTATAGCTCAACTACAAGCTCCTGCTGCCATGGCTACTCTTTCATGGTTTCCTTTTCGGGCTCTTCATTCATGTTGCCATATATACGACCATATCCAGTCTGCTCATTGATTTCAGAATATTTGTTTTACTGGTCGCATCCCTCACAATTGTTCTGAGTAAAATTTGTGGTAATTTTAAGTAAATGAGTCGGATTTAAATGCTTCTATTTTATTTTTCAGTGATTTTCTATAAAATATCATATGAAGTATTCCACTTGTACAAACTCTTACGTAGAAGTAGCGCGGCGAGATATCAAAGCGTGAGGGAAGATCAATCGAATAGCAAAAATTTCATAGTTCTACAGTCTGAAGTTTAACAAAATCAATTTACTGTGAGACGTAAATTTTACATTTATCTTACCATTAAAAAATGTATTAATCTTAAGTGAGTTCTTATCTGAAATTGCATTTGCAAAAAATGACTAACAAAATTCTGAGTTCAAAAAATAAACAATATCTCAAACTACACAATTGATAGTTTACTTTAAAATACAAACTAAAATACAAAAGGAAGTATTAAACAATGTCCATCCGGGCCAGATGCGACTGATGATGTTTACCAAGAAAAAGAACACAATTTAAAATTCCGTTCTCAAGTGCTTCGATAAATTTGAAGTAATCAATTTGGTATTTACAAATTATGTACACTGGTCCATAGTGAAATAACAAATAATAAATTTTCAAATAGGAGTACCGAAATATAATGTCATGCTATCTGGCACACTTGATATTATTTCACTGTGCACTGGTCTAGGAGGAGGTTCTTTCATTAAAATTTTCGACCAAATTAGCTTAAAATCCAAATAAATTTGAATTCCTTCGTTGTTTTTTTTAATCACAAATCCACTTATTATAAATGTGAAAGTTTGTGAGTGGATTAGTGTGTGAATGCGTTTGTTGCTCTTTCGCGCTAAAACGGCTAATCATGTTCAATGAAATTTGACACACAGACAGATTATAATATTGATTAACGTGGAAATGTATCAAGTTTTTTCAAAAGTTAAAATCAAATAATTAATAAGGTAAGTGAAATATTACCACAATGTGGGTGCCAAACGAAAAAGTCTCAAAAACGATTTGTTTCGGAAATGTTTTTGAAGTGGATTGAAGTTAAAATGAATTAAAATTTCATTGACAAGAGTTTCCACTTTTTTAGAATTTCAAAATCAGTTTAATTAAAATTGTTAAATGAAACTTATGGGTGGCAAAGAAAACTTTATTTGTTTGGAAATGTAAGCTTAATTTAAATAAAAATTAAGACGAGTTACTGTAGTGTGGGTATCAAGCGAGTAAGGTGTAAGAAAGCTTTATTTTGAAAATATTTTGTAGAATGGTAGGCAACTGCCTAGAAGTTTATAATCAAAACTTGCTTGAGTTGAATGAAATATTTTAATATTGGTTTCAAACGGAAAGAGCTAAGTAAGTTTTGAATGAATTTAATTAATGAGATAAAAAATGCATTTGAGGAAAAGTTTGAAGGAAGCTTTACTTATAAAATAAAAAATATGAATGATCAGCTTAATTCCGCAGTATTCGGTACAATAGATTTAGGAGTAGCTGTAACATTTGTAAGCATAACTTTAAACCGTATATGACGCAGCCACGAGCAAAAGCTGGCATAATTATAAATTGAAATTTAACCCCTAATGCTGACTGGCTCAAATCCCAAAATAACCATGACGCGATTGTACATCTAAATTGTGAAAAAAGTACGCTTTCTCATTTCAAATTAATTTATTCTTTCCTTAATTCGCACATAAATTATACAAAAGTACAGTTATTCAATGTTTTTGCCCACTATGTACAGAATTATGTATGTAAAGTAAAAATGTATATATGAGGACATAAATTTATAATTTTTCTTATTTAAGCATTTTTAAAGTTGTTACTTAATAGTACAAATAGTGTAACAAAACACCGAAATAGCTACCTATCTACATTCATATCTCTATAAGTATGTACTAAATATAAACGAGTATGTATTTAAGTAATTTGGGCACACTTTCCATGCCTGATAGTTTGATAAATATTTTCTCCAATTAATTACTACATATACCTACACACGTATGTATGTATAAAATACACAAATAAAACAGTAATAGCTTAATTAGATGCATAATTACTTAGAGTAATGCTGCGATTTTCCCCCAAAACTTAATGAGATTTAATATTTAACAAACAATATCAGCCATTTACATATGAGAAAGCAGCTATCAACAATAAGAGAGACAAGCAATTTGAATAAGAACTATTTACAAAAATTCAAATAGAAGCCAATTCGCAAGAGCATAACAATAAATATATTAATTCTAAGACTAAAATAAAAAAGTCAGCATCGAATCGAAGAATTTTTGAAAAATCAAATACATAAATTAGAAGTCGCTTAGTTTAGAATGTTGAGCATTTCTTTTTTCTGTTTAATATAAATTGAAGTAAATGTTTGAAACAAGTGAATTCGAGAATATTCACTTTTACTACAGATTGGTGGTTAGACCGACAACATAGGATATCCAATCTACCGTATAAGGTACACGATGATAGATGCCCGGCTGGCCGCGCGAGGCGCACGAGTAGCCAGCTGAAACCACGCCTGCGAAGAGAAAGAAAAATATATGCAAATTAATTAGAATTTCGTTTTTGTAAAATAGCAGTCATTTTGTGATTTTCATTTGACTTGCTCACCAATCAAATACCAGCGGCCACTCTTCTCATGCATCAGCGGCCCACCAGAGTCACCCTGACAGGAATCTTTGCCTCCATTTCGATAGCCAGCACACATCATTTCCGGGTAAATGACAACATTTATGCCATTTTGACGATGCCAGCGTTCGCAGATGCTGAGATTTAGAAAGAGTATATTAATGATATTGAAGAAATATTGTTTGTGCTTAATGCAGTTTTATTAAGTAAATTTGGCATTAAATGAAGTCTGGCATATCACCAGCATATTCTTTAACTAATTGGATTTTTTTAAACTAAATATTTGATGTTTGTTCCCGGGATAATTATGTAATTATGCTATATAAAACGAAATTTGGTATATGTATGTATGTGCATTAGGGTGGTAAAAAAAAAAGTATAGTCCGAATTTTAATGCTCTCACCCCCTAGGATTGTTCCATATCGGAAAAAATATGCCCATATTTTTTATTTAGCGGTCGCGCAAAATTGCCCATGTATTTTATATGCACAAAAAAAATTTTCATAGAAATGGTATAGAAGTCTTGAAAATCAATATTTTCCGATCGGAAAACTCTGGTTCTCTTCGGGAGATTTCCAATAAATAAAAATAGTACCCAATTGTTTTTTTAACAATTTTTTAATACTAAAGATTTTTTATTAGTCCCCGCATTGCATCACCTGGGGTTTTTGGCGGGCCAATAAAATATAGTTGCTATGAAAAAATGGTTAAAAAAACAATTGGGTACTATCATTGGGTATCTCCTGAAGAGAAACAGAGTTTTCCCATCGAAAATTATTCATTTTCGAGAATTCTATACTATTTCTATGAAAAGATGTTTTCTTCACATATGAAATATATGAAAAATTTTGACCGCTTTGAGCGACCTCTAAATATTAATTAATTTTAATTAATATTAATTAATAAAATAAATTATGGGTATATTTTTTCGGCAAAGAACAATTCCAGAGGGTGAGAGCATAGAAATTCCAAATTTACTTTTTCACCTGCATTTTTTGACCACCCTAATGTACATAAATATGTATTTGTAGACTCACCGATTTTCAATCACCGGCACATCCACCGCTTGCAGCGTTTTCGGCCGCAGTCTTGAGCCAGGATTCAAAGCGCCCCAGCCGGCTGCCCATCCAAATTTTCCAAGAAAGTCCTCATTCTTTTCCGGTAGGCAGATGGGTGCTTAAAAATGCAAATTAAAAGCATTAAAACAAACCAGGTATGTATTTATATGTATATGTTCGGTCGAAGGCTAAAAATTAAATAATTTCGTATCTCATGTCATCTCAGAACGACTTATTACGAAAATGATTCATAGCTCTCCAGACCCCAGGAATATGCTTTGAAGGCGAAATCTTAACAATACTTTGGTCATGATGGGTATATCTCCCCCTAAACTTCTACCTATATTTGCTTCAGGCAAACACTGTCCTGATAAAGATCACATGCGGTGATGGCCCAAACGAATATTACAAAACCTCGCAATTATTTTCCCGTGGTGGAGTCTGGAACGGATCCCAAGATACAGTGGTGTTGTGCTACTAAAAAAAGGAATTGGGGAAGCCGATTTAAATAATTCAGTATGGTTTATTTAAGAGTTGATGAAACGACTACTAGCAGCTGACGGGGTCGTTAGAACATCAGATTTAAGAAATTTTAGAGGTGTTCAAAAATGATGAGACAACTTCTGCACGTGCAAGACGTGTAAGACGAGTAAGACCAGCAAAATTTGCAAGAACAGAATGAATATGTGCAAGTTTAGCACCTCAAGCGAGTGGTGAAAGTCGAGTGAGTCGAGCAATCACTCCAATCTGAGGGAAGCTGTCTAAGATTAGTTAACAGTGCAGAACAGGAGTATGCTCAGGAGCAGGATAAGTAAGAGGAGCGAGATGAGCGAGACGAGCAGAATGAATGAGATGGTGATGTTGTCTTTGGAGATAGAGCAACACAGGAAGTAAGGACGAAGTGTGAGAAAATCGAGATAGTTCGTCTGGCAAGTCTGTCTGTTTTTAGGTACGGCCTTTCGGGTAGTATCGCGGGGGCTGCGGTTTAACATCAAAATGCGAGTAGAACCAGTAATGGTTCAATGTGGATTTGCATTGCAATCGGGTGACGCGACTAAAAGAACGGCAAAGGTCTAGGTAGTCCTCGAATGCTTGGCAGTCAGAATTAATGCCACTGCCTCTTTTACAAGTGGCGCCCACGCCCGCTTGGATCGCGATGAAGAAATCTAGAAGTTCTAACTTGGGATCGACGGATATTTTATCATTTAACCTCGACGAACCGCTGAATATGTTTACTAGACTACCGTCCTAGAAGCTGTCACTCTCCATTGTAATAATCACCCTTATAGGTGCATATGTATGTAAACACCCTCAGTTACTTACCTATGTGTGGCATAAAATGCACTGGCCGCTCCAACGTCAATACGGACACATCAAATCGATCTGCTTGCGGTGTAAATTTGAAATACGGATGCACATCGATGCGACGCACACCGAACGTATAGGCCGGCAGAGGTTCGACAGCAGAGTTGATTACGTAATCGCCAAGAGTGACGTGAACCTGGCGTGGTGTGGCACGTGCCACACAATGACCGGCGGTAACGACGTGACGACGCGACACCAGTGAACCGCCGCATCTGTGGGAAGATGAACAGAAAAAAGAAAAAAAAATGTTCGAAATTAAAATAAAAGAAAGAAAGAAGAAAGAAATAAGTGAGAGATATAAAATAGCAAAGCGCAAATTGGCGCTGTTGCAAAAATTGTTTACAGCTAGAGAGGGAAATAGTGATAGAGAGTGTGCGGTAGCAGGAAATGAATGTTGCGCGTATACGCCAGTGTTGACAAAGTAGTGATTAATTGCTAAATAAACTTTAAACTGGTTGGCTTGTTTGCGAATCGTTGCGGAGGTCACGGCACTTGTGGCATGTTGACAGCGCATAACCAAGATGCATGCCTGGTACATACATTGCTATATGTGGACAAATGTGCACCGGTGAAGTTGCATACAAGTGCGATCTGTGGCAAGGAGCTTATTTGCGTCGCGTTGAATCGATTATGCAACGGATTGTAAGTTCGTAAAATTTTGTTGACGCTTTCGTATGACATCAACAAACAATAATATTTGTATAGCTAATACGCAAATCACTTTCGTTGTTATGCAACTTGCGGGCCAACTGCCAGCAGCGTAAATTTTTGCCTACACTTCGTCAACACTTAAGACTTTTTATTACTGCCGTTAAACACTTGGTTCCGGCAGCTGCTTTGCAAATAAAATCTTGTTAGCACAAACACTCACCTCGAGGATCCGATACGTATGTACGCCTGCCAAGGAAATGAACCGAAACCGGCATCGTCACCGCCGACTATGCGCCGTTGAGCGGCCTGTTTGGCCAGTGAAATGCCGCAGCCTGGAAAATTTTTGAAGAAAATATTAATAAATGTACGTACTTCCGACAAAGATAAGGCAATGAAAATACTAATTTGTGTTGTAGTAATGCAAGCAAACATTCGATAGGAAATTAACGATGCAGACGAGGATAGACTATGTTAGGGATATATTCATTTTTTTTTTAGCGAGCGGTGAGTGGATGCAAAGTTATGAAAGTGAGCTACCTAAGTGAATGAGAGCAAGATCATTAGTAGCGGAAAATTTTCGCAAACTAGCGATTTGTAATAAGAAAAATCAACGACTAAAAGCTACACAAATAAAACGAGTGCAATTTAAAAGGCAAATTTATGTTGCAAATAAAATTCCAGTTTTTACTCCTTTTCTTCTTAGTAAATCGAAAACCACAAATTCGTTTCTATTCCACACGTTGCGCCACTCACTGATCTTCCGCAACAAATTGGCAAGCCGCAGCCGCAAATGAAGGTTGCAAACCAATTAGACACAAGCAAATGAAACTACGTAGATGCAATTTAGAGGGTTTAGTAACGCGATCGCAGCAAACAAGTAAAGTGATTTAAATTGGCGAAATACGCGGCAGTGGTATTGGCGCGCGCTTTCAATTACTTAGACTTTTACCGATAACAAAATACATACATACGCTAAGCGTACAGCGATTGGTATTGGCATGAATGCCAAATTTTTTTTTTTAACTAATTACATATTTGCATTGCATACGATTATTATGTGAATCGGGGGCATGCAGCGTACGTACGGGCGAGTGGCTGAACTTAAAATTTAGCTAACATAAAATGTTGTTAATCTTAGGTGGCTAGGTGGAGGGCGCTTGGGTTTGTGAAATGTGGGACGGTTCACTGAGTTTCGAAAGGGGCTATATTTCTGTATATTTTAGTGAAAGGATTTCGTATTTAAATGGCAATTTCGAGTAATGCGTAACACAAATCGATTTTTTTTGTTATTGGCTACTAAATAGTTACTTGCTAAATATATGTATTTATACGTAAATAGTAATTTGTGATTTTACGAGCATATTTTTAGCTTAAATATTTATTATAGTGCAATGCTCTAACCAACTAACTAGCTACATATGTATGTATGTAACTACTCACTAACTAATTATTGCATGCATAGTAAACGATTGTGATTAATATACTTATTTGTTTTTTTTTTTTTTTTTTTTTAATAAATTAGTGTTGTTTTTGTAATAACGAATTATTTTTTGGTGCAGCAAACAAATACGTTTGGTGTAAATAGGTGGCGAAAATCATGCTCATGCACAGCTCGCAATCTAAATTAAAAAAAGGTGTTCCCTTCTTTTTTGAGAGAAGTCTTGGAATATAAAATATTTGTTACAAAATTTGACAATATGATGAACATTTCACGACGATTATCAATAAGATAGAAGTGTCAACCAAATTTACACAGCTCTCTTGGTAGCTATCTATATTGTCAAACAATACAAAATATGTAAATAGAAAATGTTTTCAATACGATTTGAAATATTTTCTTCTATGTTTGACACTTCAGTCGCTGTCAGGATTTTTCCAGTTCAATTGAATACTACGTTTCACTTAGGTAGGTACATTTTTTCTTAAAGCTCCGAACTCAAAGAAATCACTGAAATTTTACTTTAATCACTTCTCGAAGACTTGTCATTTCTGAAGTGACTTTTGGTCAAACAACACAAAGAATCTGCCAATATTTTGACTCCCATGAATAGGTAAATTTCTAATGAATAAGTACTGTAAGTGCAATATTTGTGGACGTTGGAAATGTTGATAAAATAGTCGCTAAGAAGTCCCGAGGCTTTCAAATCACACATAGCTAATAGGGACTGAGCCAATTCACTTTAATTTGCAGAAGATATAAAAGTTGGGAACTGCTGAATAAATTACTTTATACACAAGTATTTGCGTATAAAATCAAAAGAAGTGTAAAAATTGTTCAAAGATATAGCCGAGGCCTAAAATTCTATGAAAATATGACACGAAATTTATTAAAAAAAGTTTAATAGAGAAACAGAAGATCCGCTCTGATGTCAGCTTCTAATTGTAGTAACACTGCTATGAAGTTACAGTGGTGTTGGTAAAAGTGCACCGCATACCTTTGAAAATTTGTCCTCAAGCAGCATTCTATTTCGCTTAAATCTTAACAAGTGTAATAAAAAAAATTTCCCAAAGAGACACCAACTTAAGGAATAATTTTAGGAATTTTGTAAGGCTTATATGCTTAAAAAGGACAAAGAGGGTGTAAAATTTTGGCTGGGAAACTTTAGTTGTAATGATTACAACTAATTACATAAAAAATAAACTGGACCTTAAAAACGATCTTCAAAAGTATAATTTTAGAGTTTTCCGTTTTTTTAACATGAATTAACTTAACTTATATTTTTCGTTTGTTGTGACCATGCAAATAGATTCCTTGATGCAACAACAGCAAAAAATCGTGTTTAATTTTTTTTCAAGTTCATACTGTTTTCAAATGAAAACCAGAAAGAGGTCAAGACGCTTTTTTTCAGGAAGTTTTTTTGAAAGAGTTTTTGAACTTACATAGCATCCTATTTGATTGAGTTTCTGAGGCCGCTAAATAGGATACTAGTTATTTCATAAGATACAACTATTGTCAACTGGCGTTTCAAAGTACGGCAAGGGGATATGCATTTTTTAAGCAATTATCACAAGTCGCCTTGAGTTTTTTTTTTAGATAAAAAATTGCTGGAGTTCTCAACCGTGGACGACGTTCCCATGCTTGGCTCACCTAATAATAATACTCTCGTACCAAAAGGTAATCCCTATATCAACTAGCTATCTCTATCCCAACTCTAAATCTGGTATACCGCTCTCGCACTGATAAATATATAGTCGGTGATATGATATTAGTACCACTTATATGATCTCTTACTTGCACCGGAATGCATCTGCAAATCCTTATACGCTAATAAACGAATGACAAAATTTGGCTGATGAAGATTAGCGATTGCCAGAAGCGTTCAGATACAGACAACAGATCAATTAAGCACCAGAGGTAGTAAGTGACATAACACGTTTTGCAGTATCACCGACGATATATGTACACATGTAGATTTGAAAAATAGGGTATTTATTATTTTTAAAATTTTTCAAAAGAGCATATCTTCTCGCAAAGAATCCCACTCCATACACTCAAATCGTCTAATTAAAACTCTTTTATAGTTTTCGCATTGATACACAGTTTTCTTGTTACCGAAGCGTATGACGAGCCCGTGAATGAGCAACTTTTGCTTTGAACTCCAAACAACTTAGCTGGTGTTGAATATTTAATTTTTTTAAATTTAATATATAAATGAGACCCATTGAAAAAATTCCCTTTGACAAGCTTTGTGCAATCAGTGAACAAAAAAAAAAAATATTTTATATCTTCCAAACTAAACCTACACGCATTCACCGCTAGCACCAAATTAGCTAAACTGCTACTCATTATTACATAACAAAAGCTCAAGCGCTAAATAAAGTGCAAACCGGCATAAATACGTATTTAATGTGTAGCTAAATACTACAGCCATTTCCAAGCCCAGCTACACCGCATGCCGCGTGCAAAATTCTGTAAACCCTAAAATTCGAAATTCGTTCAAAACTCACTGGCATCATTTTTAACTGGGCCATAATTCTTGTGCGGAAGATCAGTCAAATCGATTGTGTTGCCCACATACTCGGATGTGCGTAGATTGGCAGATTTGGCTGTGCGATGACAGCAACCGCGCAATAGGCCGTTGCATGTGCCCTGCAATAGACCACCGCTCATCCAACAACCGATAAAAAATTCACAAGTACCACCGCGATGCTGACATTCTAGTTCGGTTGTGATATCAACTGAGAGAAAGGGAAAATAGTTTTGCTTTTTTGGTTATTGAAAATCAGTAGTTTTTGAGAAACTTTTTTTTTTTTTTAACAAAAATTGTGTATTATTAAAATTAAAAATTCACAACATTGTTTAAGTTGGGCGAGTATGAAAACAAAATGTGGCTCCATTTAATCTCATAAATTTATTATTTATTACAAAAGTTTAATTTCTCGTACATATGTATGTCTGTCGTAAATTTGATATTAAGTGCCAAAAAGCAACCAAAAGCACCAAAGAGCTCAAAGAGAATGTAATGAGAAGTTTTTCCATGTGTGAATTTTTTTTGATGTCTTTCGATATACTAAATACCACAAAAGTATGTATGTACACTTGGATGCAAGTATGTATGTATGGTTGTTGACCTATTTTTGATATAAGTATGTGTGCATGTATGTATGTATGTATGTATGGATAGCGGTAGTGTAAGAAAGCTTCTGTGTATGGAAAACAAAGCGCTTACCTTTTTCTTTGAATGTTCCGGAAGAAGGCACACTCGACAAACTGGTCTCTGAGGTGCTGCCGTCTATGTCCTGTAAACTGAATTCATTGCGGACATCTTGAATGGCAGCCAAGTCGTTGAGGCCAAAGTTTTGATCTCTGAAATTATGAGAAAAGAAATTAATTAAACTGTAAGTTTGTAATGCGATTAATATAAGCGGAGTTGAGTTTTGGATATTGCATTTTGAGGTGGTTTTTTACAGAGCGTTTGAAAAGTTGCTACAACTTAAAATGGATGTGGAGCTACTAGCAATGAATTCCTAAAGCATGGCGCTACCGATTTAGTTATTAGTTAAAATTTTGACACAACTTGTTGTCTGGTTCACAATGGGTTAATTGCTTCAAAGTTTACGACTGGCATATGAGTATGAAATGTCCCTAACGAAAAAATATATGGTGATACTTGTATGAAAAACCAATTCAACTATTTATTTATGGATAGAAAAGTGTTTAGATATATCCCACGAGAGGGAGTCGTTTTATAACAGTTTTTGGGTGATTTGCTTTGGAGAACTTTTGGGACAAATCCATACTTTCGCTTAATACTTAACCACTTTGGACACGTTGTAGGTCTTCGACGTGTTGGCTATAAGTTTACTTTTAACTACGGGCAATTCAAAATCCTAAAAAGCTTTTAGGGCATCCCGGCCTTAACCGATACTGGACCCAACTGGATGTTTCGGAGATGGATCGAAGTTAGATTGGAAGGATCTTCTGAGAGGTACCTTCCATGAGCTCTCCAATGTAGGCTCCCGAATTACTGCATCGAACTGGATACTTACGAATATAATCAGATTCAAGGATGTGATCAGATTTGCCCAGCGCAAATTTAGGTTTTTGGGTGTCTGGCGATATTGTGGGGCAGTGTCTGACATACCTCGCGACCACATATCTATGTATAAGCCACAGCAACATTGCAACTGAATGAATAATGTATTGGTATAATCGGACACACTTGGGAAGTGGGAGCCGGGTAAGAGAGAGTGGGGCCGATGTGAATAAGTTCTTCTCACCGTGCAGGAAAATTGAAGGTAGATAAGGAGATGTTAAGGATAAAGAAGCTACGTATTTTAAAACTGGTACGAGTTTTTGCTAGACTCTATTTCAACTCAGCTCAACGAGATATTTTGACCGCCTTCGGCCGGAAAGATCTCTAAGACGCACATGTCCTTGTTTTTCGCGCAGCGTTCGCTGAGCTTACACATATCATTATGCCCAAGAGTAGTTTGCATGTAGTCTTAGGAGCTCTTAGTCTCTCTTTTCTCGGCTTTATTATTTTTTTAGTGCTTTCTTGGCCAACTATGGCGTCGTAGTCGTAAACATTTGACTAGTAAAAAATCATGCTCAGGCGCTTCTCTGTTAGTTTTAAGCGCTCCGCCAGTGCACCCAAAGCCATGATTGCCGACTGTCTTTCAGAGTAGTAGTCCTTTGATATCGTGTGGCTGATACCTCAGCATTGAAAACACCAGAGTTTTCATCAAACCTAAATTTAAGGTCACTGAAAGTGCTCCCCGAAAAAAAGACCTCCCATCCACTCTTCCGTCAGGCTTCGACCCATCTGTGTAGAAGTCCACAGGTGCCTCCATTCAACTAGTGCCACATTTCCACTCATCACTAGAAAGGACGCTCTTTTTTTCCAGTCTCACTGTGCAGTCATACAGGGGGGATGCTAGCATGTTTAACTGCTGAGACTGTGAAGCATCCAGTATCTCTAAGTTCGACCGCATAATTTAATGAAAGCTCCTTTTCTATGATTTTGAGGGCGCTATGTAAAGACAGAGAGATAATAGTCCTAAACACCAGCTGAAGATTTCTGGCTAGTATGGCCTTCTTCAATGCATTTTATCCTACATTATGGTCTTAACTATAATTTCATAGAGCCTGGACATAATCTTATAATTTACCTGATCAGTTTCCTAGCTCTGGACATATAAATATTAAATTCCTTTAAAATATTGCTTATTCTCTGATATTTTCATTGTGTTCCAATTTTATATATGCCACCCGCCAGAGACATATTTCAAGCCCAAGCATTTTTGAATTCTTCCCGCAACTCACCTGAAAGCTACGCTATCGCTAAAGTAAACTCCATTCCCGCTGCCACTCGGACCCGTTGTACCAATGTTATCGTTCACCGGAAACACAACGCGTGGACTGCGCGATGATTTGAAAGGGAAGAAGCGACTTTTCCTTGAACTCTGAAAATCGAGTGGTCCATTTGGACCAATGTACTCGTTGAAAGCCTTCTGCGGCGCATATGGTCGCGACGGACCTGTTCTAAATTCAGTATCTCCATAGAACAAACCGCGTTGTGGACGTTGTGGTACAGCGGTGATGGGCCCATTTATGTCACCAAATTTCGTAACCTCCTCACGAAATAGCTTTCCACCCGCAATAGCTCCACTCAGTGAATGTGGTTTTGTGTTTGACGCCAGTCCGGGAAACTCGAAGGGATGCGAAATGGGTACTGCATCAGCGGTGTCATAGATCAACTGACGTGTATGACGTGTATCTTGATCGTATTGCGTGGGCAGCACCTCCTCGCTATAGGGCGACTCAAAGCCAGATGTTTCGGTGAAGATGGGATTGTCTTCCCGATAGCCTTGCGGGTAAAAAGGGCTGGCTGGTTTCAAACTGTAGCTGGGGAATTTGAAACCATTGCGACGTGCTGCATTTTCATCCTCATAATCTACTTTATCCGTTGAAGTGATGGCGGCGTCTGCCGCTGGCGCTGTGGCCACATCAATGCGATCTGTTTGCGCGTGTATCAACTCGTCGCCGAATTCTTGTGCTACCGCAGCCACAGCGTGTGTAGGTGGACCCAGGTAACCGAATGAGCTGTTGTTGCGCTTTGGCAGCTGTGTTGCGCCACTGGTTTGCTGTTGCAGTGGTATATATACATAGTTGCGTTGACGTGAGCTGCGCGTCGCATTCGCTATGGCGGTGGTCGCCGCAGCGATAGATGCAGCGGCATTTGCGTCGGGCACCACTTGCTTGGGTATTGTTATGGGTAAAGAACCGGTGAGGGCGCCATTACTGGTACTGCTCGGTAGTTCGATTCCTGGCGCTGGTATCACTTCGACAGTCGTTATGACATCCGAGCGGCGTTGTGCTGCCAGATGTGACTGCTGCACTGGCTGACTTTGTTGGAAATGTGGTAGAATTTGTGGTTGTTGCGCGGTCGTTGAAAGTGCGCGTCCACTACGGTATGCACCAAATGTTTGTACTACGGTGCCATCGCTGCGGCGACGCCAATCTGTGTACGGCGCCTCATCCACCTTGCTGAAGGTGTTGAAAGGCGCGTAGAGGTTTCGCGCGGTACGCCGATTGTCTACAGAGGGCGCGATGGGCGCCGGGGTAATAGGTAAAGACGCGTGCTGATCATGCGCAGTTGAGTACGCTGCGGTAGCGCGTGCTTGTCGCGCACTTGACTGTAATGCTGGTTGATGTGTTTGTAGCTGACGCGCTGGTGTTGCTGGCGCATGCGCCGACGTGTTCGCAAGCGCTGGCGCGCGTTCAATGGCTTGTGCGGTGCATAGCAGCAAACTGACAACAGCTGTGGCTAAGAGGCTCCATTTGACGTTTGCTAACATCTTACATTGAGCACGGCACGTTTAGGGCGTGGCTTGTAGGGAAACCAAGGGGCAGGTACTGAATTTGGTGAAGGTGCGCGCTGGTTTTAGATGCAAAGCTGGTAGCGGCTGTTAAATGGGTGTGTTTAGCGGATTTAAACAGTTTTTGTGTCGCAGTGCGCGGAACACTATGGTCGGCGGAAAATGCTCGTAGCTGGTAATTTCGGTGTGTCCGCCACGCTTACGGTTCCACAAAAATTGATTATTTCTGCTATTTTGTTGGCCACTACTCCTGTTGTCACTGCTGCGTCAACAAATGAGTCTTGCATTCCTCGGTGATTGGTCGGGACGCTAGCGAATAGGCGACTGAGAGAGGGGTTACGCGCGCGCACCATAAAGCGAAGGTTGACAACCTGCAAATCGTTTCGTTTCGGCAAAAGCGGAGCGCAATCAAGTTGCAATAAAACTCCTCACGTTTTCACCACTCGCTTTGGTTCCTGCCGCAACTTCCTGTTTGCGTGCCACTCAAACGCTCTTTGGCGTGACGTGCCGTGGTGCGGCCGTCGCCTTTTCTTTGGCTGCGCTTCGCTAATTGAACGGAACTTACCGCTTGCGCTTGAACTTGCAAACACCAAAATCGTGCCGCCCCAAACCACGCGTATGTGCAACAAAACGCGAACTAGAAATAAGCGTCAGCAGTCCAAACGTAGTGGCCAAGGTTGTTGCGGCACGCGCGATGGTTGTGTGGCGCTGGGGTTGGTGGTAGTTGTGGTGGTGGTGGTGGCGGTCGGTTGTGGTTCGGTCGTTGCACTCCACGGCAGGCAATTGACGATTATTGCTGGAAATATTATTTGTACGCTACATGTGCGCACACGCTTGAACTAATTCGTTTCGGAACTGCTACGCGGTTTTATTGTTGTTGTTGTTGCTGTGTACCTGTTGCGGATATCGCGCGCGACTGGTTTCTGCTGCACGTTGTTGTTGCAGCCGCTAAATGCAGCAATTTAAGGAAAACATAAACAAGCGCTCATATCGCGGCAGCTAGTTTTGAATTTGTTGCAATTGCTGCTACTGCTTTATCTGTTTTACAACCACAATGCGGTTATTGGTCTATGCCGCTCGTTCGCTTTGACTACTGGTCAATGCGCGCACGCTGTTTCATTTAATTTCTGTATCTTATTTTTATATTTATGTATATTTAGTTTTATATTTACTTCGCTGCTTTAATTCAGCGCATGCACATGGTCGCTGCAACTAAGGCTAGCGCGAGCGTGAGCGGATGCCGATAAATGCTCAAATTAACTGTTGCATATGTGGCAGTTGGCGTGGTGCCTGTGTAGGCGCACAGATTTCGTTCGATTTACTTTTTTTTTCTTTTTTTTTTTGGTGGGCGTTTGTTGTTGCTGCAGTTAATTGGTGCCCATGTTGCAGGGGTTTTCCGATATCCAAATAAAAGCAACAAAGGCAACAAGTAAAGCCGTCAAACTGGTAATTCGCGTGCCGACTCAAATGAACGAAGTACCCAACTCTCGCGTGCTAAGCCGCTCAAAGCGCTTAAATTGCAGTTTTTCGGCGCTGCTTAGCGTTAATGGTTTCTGTGTTGTTGTTGATCAAAAATATGCGGCAGCTATAGTAGAAGGGGCATGAACGGTATCAACAGTATCATTTATTTCGGTTGTTGTTGCTGGTGCGCCTGATTCAATAGCTGTTGGTTCGCTGGACGGAAAGTGTTTCCTTAAATGTACAGCCTGTAATAGAAAAGAAAAAATCGAAATGGAGATTAATTGATATACTTATTGCGAGTAACTGGGGGAATAAGGGTAAAAATAAAAGTATATGTGTATGTATATATATGTGTGCACCTATATATTTGTATATTGCATATTTTCAGAATTAAAGTTTCACAGTCAGCAAAAGCTCAGACAATATTAAATGCCACCAAGTCTACTGGATTGTGATGCTTGTAAAATATTAGAAAAAGAAAGCACTTATACAGAGTGTGCGGTGGAGCTAGAGTTCACGGTCAGAACTCCCTGGAATTAACGAAGATTTTTTTGCAACAGATTATTCTAGTAGGAAGAAATTTGTAATGTGCTTTTATCGTTACTTAAAAGTACTTTTTATTGCAGCTCCTATCGTTATCCATTTTCACAACCGCAACTGACTCTCCAACTGGGAACCACATTACTTAATTCACCATCCAAAATTTTGAGAGACCCAAAGACTATCGGCCATTAGGCGCACCTAGGAGGAAAGAGAGCACCTAACGACATTACGCATATCCGAAGCGAAAATGCAGTTCATAACGCTTATCTTCAGACTAAAAATTCAACTCTCAGCAGTTTTTTTTTAGATATACACACATAAAAGCAGTATTCAACAATTTTTCCACAGAGCAAGCGCTGGAAATACTTGTCGAGAATAAAATGAGAAATCAAGCAAAATAATCGTCGGTTAAAAGACAAATATTGCATAGTCGGTAAGACGAATACAGCATGGCGGCCATTTGCAATATCAAAAACTGGAGGGAGAGCTTTACAATCTTTTGGATCATTGCAGAGTATTCCAAGTTGAGATATTTGCCTAAGAAAAATCAGTGAAAGCAGCGGCTGAGTGAGCACAGCCAATTTGCAATAATGGTAGCGGTTGCGATGACGGTAACCCCTGGTATACAGCAGTGCAACACAAGGTTAGACGAAATCTTCGCACGTAGGAGCGTAACATTTTTGCGGGTTCAAACACTTATCGGGATAGAGGTAAAGTTGGTAAAACCCATTCACTGGTAAATTTCCAAAATATCGTCCTGATTTAGTTATCTCATGATATGAGAGGCAATATTACTGTTCTTGTATATAAATATATCCATAGGTTTCGAGGAAACAGTTCTAATGATGGTGATGAAATAAACTTTGAAAACTTAAAAAGCATATCCCCTTCGATAAAAGGTTGGTCAACTTGGTACTTTATTTATTTATTTATTTAAGTATTTGTACAATATTAGTCAAAGAGGCAATCGATTCTTATGCACTACTAGACAAGTATGCTTAGAGTGTAGTTAAAGTAAGGAAATAAGAGGATACGAACTGTTGCAAAAGCTAGTATCGTATCAAGAAAGGAACATTATTTAGCTCTCAGGAAGTTAGAAGTTATTTGCTCAACTTTAGTTCTCATAAATTAAGATCCAATAGAATACGCTTACTGAACACGTAAGTAAAGAGCAATCAACTATTAAAATTTTAGAGGTTTAAGGATGAATGGCGGCCGCTGCAATAAATAAGTACACATATCCCTAAAAATATCGGACTTGGTTAACAGCAGGTGAAAGAATTAGAATATCGAGAAAAAATTTTGGACTTTGCATTACATTAAAAATGTATATAAATCGTAATTACTGGGTGCAAGATGGAGACTGAAAATCTTCGTTTCTAGAGCTATGTATTTGGCACAATGTGAACATTTTTTGTAAAATTGTTGAGTAACACAGTAAATTCTAGAACTAGGAAGCTTCTCAGACCGTTTCAATTTTTAAACCCACAGCTAGGGATCGCCATATAAAATCATGAAACAACTTTTGAAACCAATGGCTGCAGTTGAGTTTTCTAATCGATTTAATTATATTTTCGGTTACTTGGCTTTTAGAGCTTTTTGCTTACATTGCTAAGTTTTGCAAAGATGCATAAAAATTAAAAAATAAAATACATAATACCATTAACCTCAGGTTTGAAATTTATCCCACTTCGATCTTCAATTAAGATTCACACTAAACGTCAGCCGCTGTCCTTTCATAAATCAGCATGCCTCTCCATATAAATAAAACTTCAATAAATTTCTCAATCCAACCGCATAATCGATTTTATTTTACTCCCACAAAAATTTGTGCAAGAACTTTGTTGCTTTTAAAATGTCTCAAACATGAAATTGGCCAAATCTTATCGTTAATTTTATAAGGAAGCAACTTTTTTCATAAGGCATCATAATGGTTAACAATAAAGTTACAAAGCAAAGGTCAGCTGTAAGTCCCTTAATGACAGCTGTTCAGTAAATGCGCGCCAGCAAAGTAAACTATCTGTTGAATTTTAGAAACTAAAGCAACGCTCAAACGTAAGTTACTTAATTTAACGATATGGAAGCAAAGGTCATAGCTTTAAATTGTGATTAGATTTGCTTTTACCTGCTCAACGAAAAATTACCGTTGTCAATGAAGTTGTCCAGATTGTAGTTTAATGTGTATGTACGTACCCTTGCGGTCAGCTGATTAAGTTAAGTGACATTTTTACCAGTTTTGTCCGTTTTTATTTTATTTATTTAGTTTTTATTATTTTTTTATAAAAGCACATTCAAACTTTTTATACAAATTCAACAAAATTTATCAATTTCAATTCAAAAATTTTTAACTTTTTATTCAGCACTTTTAGAAAAATTTTATGTATGCAGTTTTATAACACATTAAATTTTAGCAGGATGAAGTAAGGTACCAAGCATTTTCTTCCATATAAAAGAAATTAGAATATGGAAGAAAATGCTCAACTCCGGCAGCTAAAAAGTTATAAAAAATCAACGCAATTTTTTAGCGTCATGAAACTTGCACTTTGTGCTACAAAAATTTATTGAATATCTAAAATGTTGAAAATTTTTGGGACGAATTATTAATTTTTGTTTAATTTTTATAACCTGGTCAATTATTAAAAATCAGCGCAATTTTTTAGCCTCTTGAAACTTGCACTTTGTGCTACCAAAATTTACTGCATATCTAAAATTTCTCGGACAATTCGGAATAAAATGTTGAAAATTTTTGGAACAAATTATTAAAGTTTGTTTAATTTTTATAACCTGTTCAAAATGTAACTTAACTTAATCAGCTGACCACAAGTGTGTGTATGTATGTACAGTATTGGACACATCTATAGCACCCCCCTTTCAAAGCGATATTGTTTGCCACTTATGTTTAGTTATTTGTTTTTAAGAATTTTCAATTAAAATACAGTTCATTCTCTAACAAAACCCATATAAACCCATGTTTTAAACTTTTTAAAAGACCGCAAAAAAGCGCAACAAACTGTCCCTTAAATTTCAAACTTTTTTCTCAGAAGCTCTAGAATTTTTTTGAGTACACAGTTTTATAGCGCATTCAATTTTAGTCCAATAATGTGCAAGTTTCAAGTCGCTAAAGATTACCGTTGATTTTTTAGAATTTTATTTGTCTCATTTGCTTCCATATAACGACTAAACACAATTTATTTTTATGTGGCAGAAACCCGCAACATCCTCGGCGAAAAAAAATCTAAAAAATCAACGGTAATTTTTAGCCACTTGAAACTTGCACATAATTAGACTAAAATCGAATGGGCTATAAAACTGTGTATTCAAAAAAATTCTACCGCTTCTGAGAAAAAAATTTGAAATTTGGGTGAAAATTTGTTGCACTTTTTTGCGCACTTTTAAAAAGTTTTAAACTTAAGTTTATGTGAGTTTTGTCAGAGAATGAACCATATTTTAATTGAAAATTCTTAAAAATAAATAAATAAACATGAGTGGCAAACAATATGACTTTGAAATGGGGGTGCTATTGTATTGGCCAATACTGTATATGCTATTTATTTATAAACACTCGACCAAAGCTCACGCATGGTTGAGTCAAGAAATGGGTTGCTATTCGCCAGCAGCAGCAGCACCAGCACCACCAGCAGCAACAAGTGAATCTATTTGCTCAGCTGGTTTAATAGATAAACGTTTGCTTGCAATTACGGAATTAGTGAAGCTGATGGTCACTGTCAGTTTAATGGCCGTTTCTTATTTTTCTAATTTTCTCAGTTGCTTGCAGACAACGTGGCACCTGCAGGCGCAGCAACTGGCGAACTTGGTCATTAGCCAAATTGGCTCTTTACATGTAATCAGTTGCAATCAAAAACATTTATCTTTCATGTTATATCAAATTGTAAGAGTTATAAAGTTTACTCACTGCGCTCAGGCAAATATAGCAGGGCGTGTATGAAAAAAAAACATTTTATTTGACTTTTTAATCAATAAGTGTCTATACTTCGATAAACTAAAAATTATACGTCATAAAACGACTATAAAATATAATCGAAAAGATATGGATAGTCAAATTTTGATGATTAAACTACAACTACTACATTTCTAGTGCTAAAATCTTAGCCTTTTTTTAAGTTTTCATTATTGTAGAGCAAAAACAACAAACCCCTTTCAAAAGCCTCATACATACAAATACACACTTTGTCAGCAAAATACCATAATTAAAAAATCTGTCTAATGTGTCATCTGCCGTCCCTCTGTTCATTGATATCAAGTGGCTAGATATTTTGAGCTTTACTCGCACAAAATGTAAAATTACCTTACAGCTTTTTATTGACATTTTTCTGTCTTTCTTACAGTTATTTTGGTAAGCTATCTATCGAGAGCCATCAGCACACTTGCGGAGACCACAGAAAAAGCGCTATGTGTTCCGTAATAAAAAGATAGAAGTATAAATGTATGAGCGCGAAGAATTTGAGGTGCTGGCCGACAGGAGGAACTTTCGAAAATACTATCAAAAGTTTAGTGAGTTACGAAATGTTTAAAGACTAGTTAGAGCGAAAAAGATTTATACTGACGGTGTCCAGAGCATGCTAAAGTTATGAAGGGAAGACTTCTTCATCCCACCGACTGGCACTGAAACCAGTAGAGAATACCAAACCAAGCGCTCAGTTGAGGAAAAAGTAGTCGAATAATAGCAAAATTTTGTTCCAAA